ACATCATTTTAATCACAACACAGAATATTGAACAAATGAAATATAAGATATTCTTTGGTCATGATAATGTATGCGTTAAACACTAGATGATCATTGATGAGGTTTGATGGAGTACAAATGTCATTACTTAACAGAAGAGATCATCTTTGTCAGATAGATAAAAAAAGATATCTGTCATCAAAAATCCGAATCAATAGAAGATGACACAAACCGAACGCATACATTATCATGACCAAAGAATATCTTATATTTCATTTTTCCAATATAGTGTTGTTGCTTCTTGTCCAAACAAAACATTGCCCAACTACAAAGAAACATGATAATGTTATTTATATGTATTCAACACAATTACGTATATATATATATATATAAACAGAGATACATCGTAGTACACATCATTTCAATCACAACACAGAATATCGAACAAACCAAGACAAAATGTCTTACAATGTGTTCATCGCTTCACACATCATCGATTGAACTGATCTATCGTATTCTGGATCATCTTGATCCAATTGATATTCTTATTTCTATTCGTGATATGTGTACAAGACTCAATGAAATTACTGACACATATCATCGTTACCAGGTGAGGTTTTACATTTGCTGCTTTTCATAGATCTTAATCATCAACTGAACTGAATAAAACCTAGTCACAAACGAGAGTTGAAAGTTTCTCTGTTACTTCTATTTTTACGGTTTCGTATGAAACGACTCTTTTCTAGTAGAGAAATATCTTACAGATAATAATGCTGTCGTATTGTTTGATTATTATTTCAATGTTCAAAAATAAAGTCTTTCTAATTCAATCATATAAAATTACAATTCTAAATAAATCATAAAATTATAAGTTTGTTTACCTCTTTGAAAAGTAAATGTATAATAATTGATCGAGAAGAAAATGTATATTTGGAAAATCCGCCAAAGATTGACCTGTTTCTCGGCCATTGCGTTGGGTTTTTGTCTATGAATGAGTGAGAATTAGAACGGAAATAGCAGAGAAAAGAAAGATGAATATACATATATGTATAACAATTTCGTAAACAGCGAATTCTATACGTGCCAAATCATTCAGACGTCAAACAGGCCACCTTTGTCGGAACTTAGGGTCAAAAACTCAAAAAACTGGGCTTGGGGTCATTTTTCATTCTTGCTGCCATTCACTGAAGAAGCATTTTTATGAGCTGCGGTTGTGATATTCGTGATCAGCGTCGAATTCTGAGTCAGAAAAAGTGTTGTTCGACCAGTATCTGAAAAAAAATTCTCGATCGTCTCGGTGAAGTCCTGGCCGTGAAATTTTTCGAGAAAATTTTTTTCGAATTTCGACGATCTGAAGCCTCTATCTTGTTTTGAATTCGATGCTGATTCTGAATATGTATGGCTTAAAGTGTAATTTTTTGGGACGGAAACTGGTCTTAGTTGCATTTCTCCTTTCAAATATCTTCTCGTTAATGAAACGAAAATTTCATGTTTATTATATTTTATTGCTTGATCCATCTCAAATATAAAACTGGATTTTGCGATTTTACATGTTTCCAGTATTGAAAGTCTCCTTTTAATCATGTCGTAGTAAATTGTGTAACTTTAGACAAAATAATTTTTTATTTTCACATTACATGAAAGACAATTTAAATGTGATCGAACTTTATTAGTTGTGAATCATTGTCAGTTTTTAATTGTTGAGTGGATAAAATATTCACAGACAGATAATTGATCGATCGCTTTGACAATACATCATCTTTTATTTATTTTTTTACTTCATTATCGATTAGATTGTATAAATAAGTTCATGTAATAGGTTTTACAAAAGGAATAATGTGTCAGTTTTTTATATTTCGTTGTCTTATTCGAACGACTCATTTATTCCTAAACAGTAATTTTCCAGTAAATAATCTTCTATATGCTTGTTTATAATCTGATGATCGAGAAATAAAGAGAAAAAAGGTCATTAATTGTGGATTATAGGATAAAAAATAAGCAGCTATAACCAAATAATGTAATGATAATTGTTCCCATTGATGACACTTAATAAGAAGTCCCAATATTAATTGTGGTAATGAACAAACAATCATTAATAATGGACTGGCAAGTGATTCATAATGAATTTTCATTTGTTCATATACAGTTGAAGATAACTTTTTTTAATGTACATTGGCTTTACTTTTTGATGACATATAAATCATAATAGCAGCTGCATAAGCATTCATTAAAAATGGAATAATATGATTCATAAATAACATTACCGTATCTATTCTTTTCCATATTGTTGATGAATATTCCATAACGCATATAATTTGATTATTGTTTTGTAAATCATATGTTAAATGATGGAAAAATATATCCATAGATGTACTTATAAAATCACCTATAATTAACAATAGAAAGAACGTCCATTCTGAAGATACAATTTTTTGTTTTTTAATAGTCAATAATTTATGACTATTAATCATATTTGCACGAGTTATTGAGGGAAAACCGATAGACCATTTAGAGGCTATCTATCTGGGACGAGAGGGGCGTGTAAAGCAACTTCAGGCATGCCGATACGCTTTCTAAAAATATGTCGTTTTCTGATGCATATTAAATGACAGCTATGCTAAGAAACTTGCGAATTTCCCGACTGTGTAGTGAGGATCACTGAATCAAGGTCGATGAAAATACCAGAATGTCAGTATACGTGCAGATAGCGTGTCTCATCGATCTTTCAAAGGCTAGATTCTAAGAGTATGAAGATTTACTCTAACTATATAGTACAAGGTAGGAGTGAGACAGTTACAGTTCCTAAGAACGGGTGTATGACATATTTCATAAAAGCTTACACATTAACAGATTATTTTCATAGAATATTAAATAAGCATTCAGCTTTATATATTCTAGGATATTTTGATCAAACCAAAGATTTCTATTCAAATGATCGTCTAGTAAATTGTCTCGTACATATTGTTACTCTATTAAAATTTCATCCAGACACCTGTAGATATCAGTACAAAGGTGTATGCTATCGAGGAATGAGAATAACAGAAAATGATTTGAATTCACATCACTTAAATCAACATATATTAAATAGATCATTTTTATCTTCATCGATTGATTATAAAGTTGCCAAAATGTTTGCTGGTGAAGATGAACAGTGTCAAATGCGACATACTTCCAATCAACGTCCATTACAATTTTCATGTTTATGTCAATATAATATTGTGCAAAATTCAACAGCTATCAATGTACAAGAATTATCAATGAGACTGGATGAAAAAGAAATTTTCATTCTACCATTTGCTGTTTTCAAAGTGGTGAATCCCAAACGAAATTATATTGATGATTCACAAGTAGGTATGCACCGGTATCGGTATACCGAATACCGATACCGAAAATACCGACTTTTTTTTACCGTCCCTGATTCATTCTGGGTGTCCAGGACGCTAAAATATCTCATTTCAACTGAACAAATTGAAAAAATTCCAAGTAAAAAGAAGTCGGTATTTTCGGTATCGGTATATACCGAAGTTCGGTATTTTAGGTATCGGTATTTCGGTATGAATACCGATACCGGTGCATACCTACCTATTCACAAGCAGCAATTTCAGTTGAAATTGAATTAGTAGAATGTGAAGATCCAGGTATCAACAATAAAAAATATTCGAAAAAAGCTTATATTGACTTTTTCTTACTTTCCGCAATCTTTAAGGAGATACAAAGTTCATTTATTTCAGGACAGGTAAATACTTTAACCTGCAATGGCGGAACAGAGAATCTTTTCATAAGCTCTTTTTTTTTAAAATTGTTAAAAACATTAATTCTGTATAGGCGAGAGAGCGTACAGTGAACAGTAGTTCTAGAGATTTTAAGAATGGGTGGAAAGAACTGGCATCAGTTTCTATCAAAGGAACAGGAAGTGGCTACCAGAAGTTTAAAGCCCTAGTACAAAGTGTGCCACACACCTATATCAGTTCGTGGTCGGTAGCTGTGGCCGTTATAGAAAGAGCGCAGTTTTGCTGGGATCCGTCTATCTTCCTATTTTCAAGTCTTGGAAACGTACAATAAGTGAAAACATACGCTAAGTACCACACTGAATCTCATGATGATGTTTGTTTTTCGAAAAACATCCCCAAACTGCACTTTTTGGAACCTACAGTATTTCTTCAAGTCCAAAGAAAGTTTTTAAAACCAATATAAAATATTTTAGTTTTTGAAAAGGTTTTCTAGAAAACTTCCGAAGTGGAAGAGACATTTTACTAATCTTAGATACAGAATCATACTAAATAAATAAATAGATCATATCTTTATTAGCACTTGAAAATATAAGTGAAAAAACATGTACATTACGAGGTTAACACTTTTTCGATCGCACATCAAGAGAAAGAAGAGGTATACAGACATGCCCGGACAGGTGGAAACCAAGGGTTAGAAAACGTCAGCACTTACCAGATGTTCTAAGTGAATTGCGTCGTACTTAAATATATAAAACTTTTAAATAAAAATGTGATTGATTTACATAAAATTATATTTAGTATTGAGGTTTGTGTTAAATTAAGTTGATTTAGAATAAAAGCATATAGTGTGAACTGTTGAAATCAACATCAGCATTTTTGGAACATTTATTGCATGACCTTTAATCTCAATTGCAGTTCAAAGCGGAGCCAAAACTAATCGAATAATTCGGCATTCGATTTGTTTCGGCTTTTTGTCGAATCGAACCTAGCCGAATTTAATGTCAGAAAAGTTCTCCCGAATGCAATTGAGTTTGATTCCGGAAATGTCGAGTCGAATCGAATCTAATCATAAAAATCTAATTCTTTTCGAGCTCTAGTCCTTACTAGTTGATCATGTGATGTTTTAGCAGCTTCCACAGTTTTTTTTTTTCATTTTGAAGCTAACTCATAACATGGAACAATATTCTTCTTTTATTTTTACACTCATGTTTTGTTCCTCATTTTAGAGTTATATTTTTTCAGACTGGACAGGTCAGACTGTTTTTGTCTCTGCCGGATTGCGGAAAGGGCACTGCGCTCGGTTCCGCTAATATCTGTGATCGAAATCTTGAGACACTAACCTCTTCAATTTTGCAATAATCATTTCTGAAATATATAATGTAACAGTCAAGGGTATAAATCATTCCATCATTCAATACACATCGTACAATAAGTAATGAATGGAATAAAGCAGACAAAAAAAAAAGTTATCGTAAAACGCACATACAAATAGAAGAAAAGAATAGTAGAGCAAAATGAATGTTTTCGTTGGCACGAAAATAATAAACCTGTTCAACTTTTTCTTCGAGCTTTAGCGATTGTACCGTTGTTAGACGGCCTTTCTTGGCAAATATATTGTGTTTATGTATTATTTTAGAAATAATTCAAATAAAATTCATAAATATTTGGAAAATCATAATGTCCTACGAGTGTATAATTTTGTTCAATGAATGTATTTGTTAACGATGCAAATGCATTCAGAGGTTTCTCATTCGTATAATTAGGAGCAATAGCAATATCTGAACAAATGAAACAAAAAAAAACAAAAGTAGTCGATTAAAGGCTAGACACAATATTCTTTTCGGCGAAATTCTTCCTCTCGTTTTTCTTCGAAAAACAAAACTGAAAGTTGATATAGAAAGAAATCATAGAAAAAATCTCCTCTGTTTCTCGCCGAGACTCCATGAAATGTAGGAAAAATGAATGTAGTTTCCAGTATCAACTTTCTACGGGAGTACTGATTCAAGTCCTTTTGTCTTAAAGGGGAAATATATGTATGGGAGCCATTTCACATTTTAGTCGTAAGTATTATCACTGACAAGATTTTTCTCACTAACCTAATGATCGACTATTGTATGTAAAACGATGTGCTCCTATCAAGGGGAAACACCGTACCCCGCTAACTCCGTCACTCCGCGGAGTTTAACCGGAGTGGACGGAGTAATGGAGTGATCTGGAGTGACGAAGTAGGCGGAATGACTCTGGAGTGAATGGAGTTTGATGTTTTCCATTGACGTGCTTTGCTTTCTCAAATTCTGTTTTCATTTGTAGCATTGTTTAGCTCGCATTGTTCCTATGCTCCTAATGTTCTTATAGTTCCTATAGTTCTCAATATTCCTAGGACATTAGAACAACGCGGAAACAGCAGACTCCACATGACTCCTAACCGCATATGGAGTCAGGGAGCCTATTCCTTTCCCCAAAACGGAACACTAGTGTTCAGTCCATTTGAGCATGCTTTCCCACAACAGGACACTTTTGTTCCGAAAATCGGATGAATTTTCCAAATAAAAGAAGAAATGTGTTACATTCTGGGAAATATTCTCCCAAAAAAGAACATTATTTGTCCTTTGTTAGGAAAAATTCCCAAAAATGCAACATTTTGTTCGGACTTGTGGGAAATTTGCCCCATATTTAGAACAAGTGTCCAGTTTGGGAAAACAAATCTCAAAAGGGCTGAGCTGTAATGTTCTGTTATTGAGAAATTTTTCACAAGAAGGCAGATCTAACATTCTATTTGTGGAAAACAAAAGGGCTTAAGCAGCAGTATTAGGTCTTCGAAAGCCTCCAGTAGACTCCAGTGCATCCCATACAACTTCAACAGGTTTCATAAGACTAGAGACTGATGGAGTCTGCTGTTTTCCTCTTGAGATGACTACACTTGATTTCATGTGACTCCAAGGGACTGGAGTCCGCTCCTTGCATTAGAAACACGCGCACTAAAGGAAGTACGGGAACATTAGGGATTATGGGAATTGTGGGGACACTGGGAACTGCTATTATTATCGCTTCTTTCAAGAACTTGGATTGTTAGCACTCATTAGTGCTCTGCATACTATTCCCGAATAGACAGTTGATCAACAAACGTGAGAGAAAAGAGTTAAAGCACTTGTCACTCCGTCACTTCGTCCACTCCGGAGTGCCGAAGTGAACCGGAGTGGAAGTTCACTCCGCGGAGTAGTGGAGTATGGAGTACGGTGTTTCCCCCTTGCACTATAGACTGATTATCTTTCACTCATCATCGTTTTCTCTTTTCACGATAATAATAAGATACATAAGACACTCAACAACTAGTATGATGTTCCGCGCAGTTTAACATCGAATATTCAAAATGCCCTTTCGAAATGACAAAATATCGCGGGCTAACTGCATTCGGGACAACGAATGACTGTTTCGCTTCTGTTTCATCCTATCACCCAGTCAGTCACCTATATCTTTTGAAAATTCGTTTTAACGCGGTTTTAGCACTCATAGAGCGCGAGAATATACAGTTTCACCATGAATAAGGCGAATTTCTTGAGCTTTTATCAAAACGCCTTAATCAAAACCGCGTTTTTGACATCAATAATTCGCGAGAAACGCTTTTATGACCATTGTAACTTATTAAAAACGCGTTTGCAGTCGCAACAGACTTTAAAACACGATTTGTCAGCCGGTCCTGAAAAGCAGTCACGAGCAAAAACTTAATCTATGGTTTTTATTTTATATTCGCATTCTACAGTCAAATCTGGGACTACGAAAATTTTTTTTCCCCTTCTGACTCATTTTGACGGAGTTATAGAATTTACGAAATGAGGCCCATCGGGAAAGTTCGAAAAAGTACCATCCTCAGGTATTTTGTCTATAACTTTATTAATTTTTGTCCGTTTTGTTCGAGCAATATTTCATTTGAAAGTCCATCAAAACTGAACAGAAGGACGTATTTTTCGGCTTTTTAGCCTTGAAACGAAATAGTTTTGAGAACAAACAAGGGAAAAAACATGGTTTCTAAAACTGAAGTTTTTCGAATCGAACCAATTTTTCGGCACCTGAAAAACATTTCGCTAAAAATGCAATCATCCCATCAAATAGAGCATTCAATTTTCTACAAACTGGGCACAAAAAGGGTTTTCTAGAAGTGGTCCAAAAGCTCGGAAAATGCAAACAAAACTGCCGACTGATTCATTTTTTCGCAAGGGAAATTCATATTTTGCTTTCTATTTCAAACAAAAGTAAATGGACTAGCTATGAGATACACATCTGTATTTGTAGTTTTGCATGGTAAATCGAATGGTAAAAATCGCAGATTGCTATCTATCTCAGAAGAAACGTTAAACGCAAAATACAATTCGAGCGAATTCGGCCATCTCGAACAGAAGTGACCTCTATTGCAGGGGCTGTTGGTATAAACTTTATTTGAAAAAGAAAATCTTAATACAGATCGAAATCGCGATCCAATGGATCACATTGTATCAATTTGCAAAAGAGTCTTAATGAAAGGATGAGTAGAAAAGTTTACAAAATGAAAGAAGAATCGGAGCGAGGAAGAAAAAGATTGATCGTCAGTTGCAGAGGAATATGATTAAGGAAGAGAATATGATAAGAGATGTTGAAGAGTAGAGTAGTGGTGGTGATCAGATGACCCGGCGGACAAAGACAGAGAGACGGCTTCTAATTAATTCGTACAGACATGAGATAGGAATGCATCAGCTTCGGAATCAAAATACAGCAAATCAGGTAAGACACATTAAAAGCGTTTAGTATCCGAGATAAAATCACATATACAGTCATAAACAAAGAGAAATGTCTTATTATTTGAAATACCATTCAAGAGAATAGTATCCAAGTCTAGTTTGATGCCCGCATTATGGAATTTTGAGAATAAAATATTTCGTGCATGATTATAATGAGGGCATTTAAGGAAAAAGTGTTTCGTGTCCTCAACTACTTGAACGGAGGGTGATAAAAATGACACCCATTTAACTGCTAAGTAATTTAAAATAAAATCTAAGTAAGAAAATATTTTTTTCTAAGTAATATATTGAAAAGAATTCTAAGTAAAAAAAGCAGTTTTGCTAAGTATTTTATTTATTCAGTTTTCC